ATCACTATAAAAAATTTTTTCTGAAATAGCCAGGCGTGGTGGTACACGCCTGTCGCCCTGGTTAGTTGGGAGGCTGAGGTGGGAGGATTGCTTGAGGCCAGCAGTTTGAGGCTGCAGTGAGCTACGATTACACCACTCCAGGCTAGCCTGGGAGACAGAGTGAGCAACCCTGTCTCAAACAAACAAAAATTGAAGATGAGGAAGATTCAACAAAACATAGCAAATGAGGATTCTAACCTTCCAAAATGATGGAGGCTGAGTAGCAGCACCTCATCATTAGAATCAAGGCTGGTGCAAGTATCTCAACGAACACCAGGTTGGAATGGCAGATGGAGGAGTCCCTCGCACAGAGAACAAGGAAGAGGGCTCGGAGGGCATAATTCAGAAAACTCAAAAATGGTTACGCGGTTAAAGATAGCTGCTGCAGTAAAAGTCACGATCCCTTGTTTGTTTCTGAGCCTGAGCCTATTTTCAGATCCAGAGCTGACTGAATGAGAAGTCTGTGTCTGCAGAAACATGGTAAATGCATTTAGTAGTGATTCCTCAGACCTTCTGCAAATAACTAAGGCTGTTACCTGGGTAACCATGCCTTGGTGAAAGGGGAATGCCTGCCTAGACTTTCTGAGGATGATTGGATAGAGTCTGGATTGACACTGAAACCTGGGATTCGAAGTATCACCATGCCTTCCCTGCTAAACTGGGGGTGGCTGGGGCTGTGTGGTCCATGGGGTCCCGACCTGGGTCCAGCTCCCAGATCTGCCCGGTGGTCATTCCTCCAATCCTGTTTGTACAATAAGACTGGACACACTCTTTAGGTGGCAAAATCCCCACCTGCAAAGTGAGAATTATCGCAGCAGGAAGGCCAAGTGGAAACCTCTGAACTCCCTTCTCCCGCGGGAATGACAGTGAATTGGCCAGGCCTGGTGGTTCATGCCTGTAATCCCAGCACTTGGGAGGCCAATGCAGGCGAATCACTTGAGGTCGGAGTTCGAAACCAGCCTGGCCAACAGGGTGAAACCCCATCTCTACTAAAAATACAAAAAAAAAAAAAAAATAGCGAAGCGTGGTGGCAGACACCTGTAGTCCCAGCTACTTGGGAGGCTAAGGCAGGAGAATTGCTTGAACCCAGGCAGGCGGAGGTTGCAGTGAGCCAAGATCATGCCAGTGTACTCCAGCCTAGGTGACAGAGTAAGACGCCATCTCAAAAAAAAAAAAAAAAAAAAAAGGAATGACAGTGAATCAAAAACAATACCTGGAAAGCAATGCCACCCTCAGATCCTTAAAGAATGAAGGGCTAGTGGTCTCCATCATATCCTCATTTCTTCCACCAGCCTAGCCCCTGCAGAAGCCAGGGGGGTCACAGCAGGTGACGGGAGACTGCAGCAGACTTAATTAAGGAGCAGCCCAAGCGGCAGCTGCCGTGCCCGTGTGGCGGCTTCGCTAGAGCGCATTAGCACCGCCTCTGGCACAAGGCATCTGACCGCCCAGCTGGCAAATGTGTGTTCTTTCCCATCCCTCTCAAAATAAGAAGGATCAGAAGCAGTTACCATTCACACGGGACATGAAACAGTATGCATTTCAGTCTACCCTCGGGACTACGTTAGCTCCCTGCCTTCTGTCACATTACACTTGAACGACACCCGGACCATCTGGACATCCCGCACTATAAGACATGGGTCCTTTGCATTGAAGACCTGGTGCTGATTGGACCTGAGGAGGAAGAGATGGCAAGATCCTGCAGGCCTTGATAAAACATATGCCATTTGCAGGGTGAACGGTGAGCGCTGTGCAGGTTTAGGAGCCTGTGACATCAGGGAAATGCTTGGGGGGCCAGAGGGCTGAAGTATGTGGGGACATCCACCCGCTAAGAAGATGCATAGCACATGGTGATATGGTTTGGCTGTGTTTCCATCCAAATCTCATCTTGAATTGTAGCTCCCACAATCCATTGTGGGGGGGACCCAGTGGGAGATAACTGAATCATGGGGTGGTTTCCCCCCATACTGTTCTCATGGTAGTGAACAAGTCTCAAAAGGTCTGATGGTTTTAAACGGGTTTCCCCTCTCGCTTGGTTCTCATTATCTCTTGCCTGCCACCATGTAAGAAGTGCCTCTGCTCTTTCTTCACCTTCTGCCATGATTGTGAGGCCTCCCCAGCCACGTGAAACTGACTTAGTTTTAATTGACTTAATTAAACCACTTTTCCCTTACAAATAACCCAGTCTTGGGTATGTCTTTATTACAAGCAGCATGAGAACAGACTAATACACATGGCAAGTCCTTCCAGGTTCTGGAGGCAGCAAATTCCACACATGGGAATGCTGCTGCAGCCGACTTACTGGGTGACATGGAAGGCTGCCAGATGGGACCCAGAGCAGGAAGGGCCCTGCCGCAGGTCCTGGCTGCCGTGCAAGCAGTCATACTGCTTGGGCCCTGTCCCCTAGCAGACCTTATATACTAGAGGGACCTGTGGTGGAAACAGATGCTGTGGGGAGTTTGCAGTAAGCCCAGTAGGAGACTCACAATGTAGCCTCCTCTGGTTTGGGAACAAGGCTATGCAGCATTTCACATAAAGCCGCTCCCATCGCACAAGTGGTCCAGGAGAGTTGATGTGTTTGACCACAAGACATCAAGTAACCCCATGGATGGAGCCGCTCATCATGACCTGCATTGGCCAAATCCACTAGGCCATAGTTTGGGGGTCTATCCTCCCTAAGACGGCTCTGGCAATCCCATCCTAGACTGGACCCATACCAGGCCAGAGAGTACAAGTAAACTTCATGAACTGATAAGAATGAGGAGGACGGCCGGGCGCGGTGGTGGCTCATGCCTGTAATCCCAGCACTTTGAGAGGCTGAGACAGGCAGATCACTTGAGGTCAGGAGTTCAAGACCAGCCTGGCCAACATGATGAAACCCCCATCTCTACTAAAAATACAAAATAATTAGCCGGTGTGGTGGTGCGTCGTGATGATGCGTGCCTGTAATCCCAGCTACTCAGAAGGCTGAGGCAGGAGAATCGCTTGACGTTACAGTGAGATCATGCCATTGCAGTCAGGTCTAGGCGATAGACCAAGACTCCGTCTCAGAAAAAAAAGTTAATTAAGAATGAGGACAAGGAGGTTTTGGAGATGTGAGCACACAGGATTAAGGAGAAATATGCACTTAGGAGGATGGAAGGGAGAATGAATTAGGAAATGTAGGACCTCCAGGCAGGCAGCACGAAGAGCATACTTGAAGTTTATAGCAATTTGTAACAAGCAAGTGAAAAAAAGCTCAACATCACTGATCATTAGAGAAAGGCAAAGCAAACCACAGTGAGACACCATCTCACACCAGTCAGAGTGACAATTATTTAAAAATCAAAAAATAGACCCGGCGCAGTGGCTCGTGCCTGTAATCCCAGCACTTTGGGAGGCCAAGATGGGCAGATCACGTGAGGTGGGGAGTTCGAGACCAGCCTGGCCAACATGGAGAAACCCTGTCTCTACTAAAAATACAAAAGTAGCCAGATGTAGTGGCACATGCCTGTATTCCCAGCTATTCGGGAGAAAGAAAGAGGAGCATGTGAGCTGAGGGTGTAAGCCAGAGGGTAATTGTCACAATGCACTGTGGAACCCAAGGGGGCTGCAGAGGGGGGCAGCGGGCAAAGAGCAAAGGAAATGGATTGCAAACCCAAGGAGGGCCCCTGGCATCAGGGTGAAGGAGGAAGTGAGCTGCAAGACAGATGGTGGAGGTGGAGAGTGGGAAGCTCAGATTTCCCCTATCAGAGGACAGCAGTCAGCCTGCACTTTAGCCTGGGTGACAGTGTGAGACACTGTTTTTCAAAAAAGCCTAGCAAGTTAGGCTCTGATAAAATAGTTTCTCCAGAGGGCTGACCTTGTTGAGAACAAATGCTCTGGGGGATTTGCGAATGGTGATTTTTCCTTCCCGCTGCCAGAAGCACAGGGGATTTTTCTTCTTTCATGGTGAGGACCTGGGAGAGCTCTGGGAGGTAAAATTCAAAGGAGTGTGTGGGAGTCTCTTCCGAATGGCTCCCCCTGAAGTTTTTAACTCTCGGGCTTGTCCATGCTGAACCTCTGGCAATCCGGCCATCACAGTTCAGGTTCTCCTGTCCTGGAGCTGATTCCTGTGGAGGACTTTGTTTGTGGGTTTTTGCTTTATTAAGTTGTGATTTTCCATCACTGCCTGTCTGTCTCTCCAGTTTTGGGGACAGTGGTTTTCCCTGTGACTTCACTTCTCTGACAGATCTAAAAAGAGCTGTTGATTTTTCGGTTTGTTCAACTTATGACGGAGCATGACTTCTAATCTTAGATGGCAGCCAGAAACTGCCAGAACCTTCCAGAAACTTTAACTCAATAAAAATATACCCAAAAGAATTGAGTGTGTCTAAGAATTGTAGAAAGGGGTAGAGATTCAGCTACACACTGAGCTTAGAGCAACAAAAAGGGACGACATGATTGGCAGGTGGTGTTGTGGACTGGGCAAATTGGAGCACTCACACTTCCGGCACATGCACCAATTCAGGCAACAAAAACCCAAAAATATGTTTAGTGTGGCCTTGCTATTTTAAAACTGTAATTTTTGCATAATGAGAACAAAATCTGAAAATGTTCCTGCAATTCATTTATTAACTCTGAAACAAGGAAGTGACAAGTCTGCTGTCAGTTGATGTGAGTCACAGAGGACTCTCATAAAAATTACATTGGTTTAAATGAAAGCTGCCAGGAGATTTATTTTAAAAAGAAAACAGAATTACAGTGGTAATCCCCCCTTCTTCTATTTTTCTATTTGTGCTAGGTTTGAATGTTTTTGTCCCTCCAAAATTCATTAAAGTGGATTTTAGTCTCCTATGCCACAGTATTAAGAGGTGCAGCCTTTAGGAGGGGCCTGGGTCATGCCCGCGAGCCCCCATGAATGGGATTGGGTGCCCCTAACCAAAGGATTTGTTGGAGGGAGTTTGCTCTTTTGTTCACCTCTTTATCTTTTCCACCACGTGAAGACAGAGTTCCTCCTCTCCAGAATATGCAGAATGAAAGCAGAGTTCCTCCTCTCCAGAATGGAAACAGAGAGTAGCCCTCGCCAGACCCCAATTCTGCCAGCACCTTAATCTTGGACTTCCCAGCCTCCAGAACTGTGAGCAGTAAATCTTCATTGTTTGTAACTTACCCAGTAGGTGTTATTTTTTATACCAGCACAAACAGGCTGAGACTGATATTGGCACTGAGAAGTGGGGGTATTGCCACCAGCACACAACACCAGCCTGGGGCAGCCCCAGGAACAACAGAATCCCATAAGAGCATGGACTGTCCTCAGCAAAGCCACCCAACCACACCCATGTGGGACATGAGTCAAAGAAGGTGAGATTCAAGCTTTAAGATTTAATGTTGTTTGCCCTTGTTGGGTTTTGGACTTAACTGGGGACAGTTATCCCTTTCTTCTTGCCTGTTTTTCCTTTTTGGAATGGGAATGTCTATCCTATGCTTGTCTCAACATTGTATTTTGGAAGTAAAAATACAATGTTTGGGAAAACTTGTTTGATTTCACAGGCTTACAGCTAGAGGGGAATTTGCATCAAGATAAATGGTACTAACAGAGAATAGCTGGGCTCCTGGCTAAACCCCACCCTTAAGCTTGGAACTGTGGCCCTAGAAACAGCTGGCCCGGTTTTTCCACCCAAATGTTGCTTTTTTGGCCTGCCACGCTCCTATTATGTGCCCATAAAGACTTCAGCGGGCAGAGCAACACAAGCAGCTGAGCATCGGGAATACAAGCTGCTGAGCGTTGGGGATATGAGCAACTGTCAGGGACTACAGATAAACAGGGCTAACTTCAGATGGTGCAGCTTCAGAGGGGAGCCTGGCTAGAGACGGCTGGGCTTCAGGAAAAGATCTCCTCCTCCTGCACCATCCCCTTTCCAACTCCCCTTCCACCAAGAGCCACTTCCATTGTTCAATAAAGTCTTCCACATTCATCGTCTTTGAAACAGTGTGTGACCTGATTCTTCCTGGATGCTGGACAAGAACCCAGGTGCTTGGACGCTGCTGTGGGGCCCGCACTGAGCCCGCTCCTGCCAGAGAAGAGCGACCAGCCCGTTCTAGCATTTGTTCCCTCTGGCTCCTGCACTTGCTTCCTCAAATGTTCCGTCTCACAAGGAATGGCCATCTTAGTACCTTGAGTCTCACCTATATCTGATCTACATGAGATTCTAGACTTTTTTTTTTTGACACAAAGTCTCATATTGTTGCCCAGGCTGGAGTGCATTGGCATAATCTTAGCTCACTGCAGACTCCACCTTCTAGGTTCAAGTGATCCTCCTACCTCAGCCTCCCAAGTAGCTGGAATTACAGGTGTGTACCACCATACCTGACTAATTTTTCTATTTTTAGTAGAGATGGGGTTTCGCCATGTTACCATGTCGGCCAGGCTGGTCTCGAACTCCTGACCTCAACCAATCCACCTGCCTCAGCCTCCCAAAGTGCCAGAATTACTAAAAATACAAAAGGTAGCCAGGCATGGCGGCAGAGGCCTGTAATCCCAGCTACTCAGGGAAAAAAAAATATTTTAGAGACAGAGTCTTGCTATGTTGTCCAGACTGGTCTCAAACTCCTGACCTCAAGCGATCCTCCTGCCTCAATCTCCCAAAGCTATTTAGTTTTTGTTTATTTGTTTCCTTTTTGAGATGGAGTCTTGCTCTGTTGCAAGGCTGGAGTGCAGTGGTGAGATCTCGGCTCACTATAACCTCAGCCTTCCGAGTAGCTGGGACTACAGGCGCGCACCACCAAGCCCAGCCAATGTTTAGTATTTTTAGTAGAGACGGGGTTTCACCATGTTGGCCAGGATGGTCTTGATCTCTTGACCTCGTGATCTGCCTGCCTCAGCCTACCCAAAGTGCTGGGAGTACAGGCTTGAGCCATCCCACCCAGGCTGTTTTTAATGTTTGTTTTTTTAAGACAGACTATTGCTCTGTCACCTCGGCTGAACTGCAGTAGCACAATCACGGCTCACTGCAGCCTCAACTTCCTGGGCTCATGTCATCTTCCCACTTTGGCCTCCCAACTAGCCAGGACCACAGGTGTGCACCACCATGCCCAGCTAATTGTTTTATTTTTTATAGAAACAGGGTCTCACAATGTTGCCCTGGCTGGGTTTCAACTTCTGGCTTCTAGCAATCTTCCTGCCAAAGTTTTGGGATTATAGATTTGAGCCATAGAACCCGGCCCACTATTCACACACTTAACACACCAAGCCTTGGAGGAACCGCCAAGATCTTTAAACGGAACCATCAGCTTCTGATGTGACTCAAGGATCCCAAAAGTGCCTTTGATTAAGCCTAGGTCAGGATTTGGATGTAGAGAAGAGAAATTACGTTCTGGTGGCAGGCCCTGCCTGGCAGTGTTAATGGGGCAGTTATTCTAAACCACATCAGACGATCTGATTGATCTCAGGTGGGCACAGGCACTGCCAGTGTCCCAAAGCTTCCCAGGCAGTTTTCACGCACAGCCAGCATTTAAAACTCTTAGGGTGAAACCCACATCTTAGGGTTTGCCAACTGGAAGCTTTCTCAACTTCCCAGACCCCCGATCTGGGTCCTAGATTGGACATATTCCTGCAATTCTGGGAGGGAGGGGAGTGGCGGGAGTGGCGGGAAGGAAGGTGCCAGTCCAGTCCGTGCCTGGCGGGATGGGGCTAATAGTGGCAGCAGGGGCAGCCTTGCAGGGGGCAGGCTTCACATACAGCATGTGGTCTGTGCTTCCACCCAAATGCAAGTCCACATTCAAGAGTCTTTTCTCCCTGTGGTCCCGTCTCACTCAGACTCTGAGAAGAGGCGGCAGGAATGAGTTCATCAGATGCCGTGGTCAGGATAGGAAGGATGAGGGAGCCTGTACCACCAGAGGCGCCGGGGAGAGAAGCACTAGAAAAGAAGAGAAGGCGGCACTGGACGTGGACTTAGACAAGGCACGAACAGGATCAAATTCTCAGTCCCTATGTAGAGACTGCTGTGTTTTCTCTGACCCCGGCAGTTTTGGTTTCTTTCTGGGATATTAGTATAATAGAAAATGAGCAGGGCGCGGCGGCGCACGCCTGTAATCCCAGCACTGTGGGAGGCCGAGGCGGGCGGATCACGAGGTCAAGAGATCGAGACCATCCTGGTCAACATGGAGAAACCCCGTCTCTACTAAAAATACAAAAAATTAGCTGGGCATGGTGGCACATGCCTGTAATCCCAGCTACTCAGGAGGCTGAGGCAGGAGAATTGCTTGAACCCAGGAGGCAGAGGTTGCGGTGAGCCGAGATCGCACCATTCCACTCCAGCCTGGGCAACAAGAGTTAAACTCCATCTCAAAAAATAAATAAATAAATAAAATAAAAATAAAAATAAAAATAAAAAAATAAAAAGTATAATAGAAAATGGCTGGAGGAGTTAGAAGAGCAAGTGATTTTCTGAGAAAATGGGATGTGCCAGGGTCCCCCCCTTTTTTTAAGCATGTTGTTTGGTTATGTATAAAATTTCTTTGAGAAGAGCACACATTTTATTTTCTAGATTAAAAAAAAAAAAAAAAACTAGGATTGGGGCTGGGTGCAGTGGCTCAAGACTGTAATGCCAGCACTTTGGAAGATCGAGGCAGGTGAATCACTTGAGGCCAGGAGTTCAAGACCAGCCTGGCCAACACGGCCAAACCCCATCTCTGCTAAAAAAAAAAAATTACAAAAAATTTCCCAGGTGTGGTGGCATGCATCTGTAATCTCAGCTATTTAGAAGGCTGAGGCAGGAGAATTGCTTGAACCCAGGATGTGGAGGTTACAGTGAGCCAAGATCATGCCACTGCACTCCAGTCTGGGTGACAGAGCAAGAATCTGCCAAAAAAACAAAACAAAACAAAAACAAAAACCCTAGGACTGGGTGTGCTGGCTTATGCTGATAATCGCAGCACCTTGTGAAGCTTGAGCCCAGGAGTTCAAGACCAGCTTGGACAACGTAGTGAAATCCCATCTCTAAAATTTTAAAAATTTAAAAACCAGCCAAGCAAGGTGGTGCACTCCTGTAGTCCTAGCTACTCAAGAGGCTGAGGTGGGAGGATCACTTGAACCCAGTGTCAAGGCCACCGTGAATAAATAAGGCTAAAAATAAAACCCCACCCAAGGAGACTTAACAAGATTTGAAGCCATAATTTCAAACAAAGGCCTGGACAAAGGAGTCTGAGAAGATGATCAAGTAGGAAGCACCAAGAATCGGCCTCCCTATCTAGACAACAATTGCCAGGCAGAATCTCTTTGCCGTAACTACTTTAGAACTCTGGAATCTATTGAAGACTTACAGCTTTCAGCGGAAGACTTTGATGGTAAATCGTGTTAGTTTTGGTCAATTTCAGCTCTTGGCACAATGGCGGCGACCCTTTTTCTCACCACCTTCCCCCAGCGGGCAGCTGCATATGTGTCTCTTTTTTTCTTTGAGATGGAGTCTTGCGCTGTTGCCCAGGCTGGAGTGCAATGGCACGGTCTTGGCTCACTGCAACCTCCACTTCCTGAGTTCAAATGATTCTCCTGCCTCAGCCTCCCGAGTAGCTGGGACTACAGGCGCCCACCACCACACCCGGATACGTTTTGTATTTTTAGTAGAGATGGGGTTTCACTATGTTGGCCAGGCTGGGGTCGAACCCCTGACCTCATCAGCCGCCTGCTTCAGCCTCCCGAAGTGCTGGGATTACAGGCGTGAGCCACTGTACCTGGCCCCATGTTATTAGATATGAATGCCCAGCTCTCAACAAGGCATACAAAAAAAAAAAAAAAAAAACCAGCAATGACTGGACCATGAAAGGAAAAAAAACAAGAGACTGAGACTTAATGTTTAAAGACTTTAAAACTGCTGTCTTAAAGATACTCAGAAAACTAAAGGGAGGTATAAGAATGCATGAACAAATTAGAACTATCAATGACAAAGCAGAAAATCTAGGCCAGGAGCAGTGGCTCGCATCTGTAATCCCAGCACTTTGAGAGGCCAAGGTGAGTGAATTGCTTCAGCCCAGGAATTGGACACCAGTGTGGGAGCATGGCAAAATGCTGTCTCTACAAAAAATTTAAAAATTAGTCAGGCATGGTGGCACACACCAGTACTCCCAGCTACTAAGGAGGCTGGGACAGAAGGTCAACAGTTTGCTGGAGCCTGAGAGGCTGAGGCTACAGTGAGCCATAATTGTGCCACTGCACTCCAGCCTGGGCAACAGAGTAAGACGCTGTCAAAGATGAACAGATGGAAGGAAGGAAGGAAGGAAGGAGGGAGGGAGGGAGGGAGGGAGACTGAGGTGAGAGGATCACTTGAGCCCAGAGTCTGAGACCAGCCTGAGAAACATAGCGAGATCCTGTCCCCCCCAAAAAAAAGAAAGAGAGAGAGAAGCAAGAAAACAAGAAAGAAAGAAGAGAGAATTACCACTGACCTTCCCTGCAATAATGCTCAAGAGAGTCGCTCAATGTGAAATGAAAGGACACTAGGCAGTAACTGGAAGCCATATGGTGAAACAAAGATTTCAATAAAGGTAAATACACGGCCATTACAAAAGGTGGTATTGTTGTAACAAGGGTTTTAACTTCAGTTTTTGTTTTCTATATGATAGACTATATGATAGTCTCTTAAGAGACTAACACATTTTTTAAAATTAGTCAGAAAGTTAGTATTATTATAACTTTGGGTTGTAATTCCACATTTTTTTTTTACTTTTAATTTAAGACACAAATGCACTTAAAATAATTATTAGTTTATGGCTTGGGGCAGCACACTATAAACATGTAATTTAGTGACATCAACAATCAAGCCGGGGGACAGAGCTATAAAGGAGCAGAATTTTTGTATGTCGTTTAAGTTAACGTGGGAATTTTATAACTGTAGGAAGTTAAATGTGATCTCCATGGTAACCACAGAAAAAATAGCTGTAGATATACACACAACAAAATGAGAAATTAACTTAAATGTTCCACTATAAAAAATCA